TTTTGCAGTATGCAGGCCTCTCACTGTTGTGGCCTCTCCCGTTGCGGAACACAGGCTCCGGACATGCAGGCACAGCGGCCACGGCTCACGGGCCCAGCCGCTCTGCGGCATGTGGGATCTTCCCGGACCGGGGCACGAACCCGTGTCCCCTGCATCGGCAGGCAGACTCTCAACCACTGCGCCACCAGGGAAACCCTGGTGACGTTTTTTTAAACTTATATATGTTCAGGTGTAATGGGTCATGTTGTAAAACGTATTTCTTACCGTGGGTCGTGGTCAACAATTTTAGAAAACAATGGACTGTATCGGTTCAGTTGGAGGTGATGAACAGTGTATGGATTCTGGATGTTCTTTGAAGGTTAATCTGATAGGATTTGCTGACAGCTTAACTGGATGGAGGATGCAAGACCCAAAAATAGTTAAGAATGACTCCAAGGTGACAGTTCCTTTTGATCAGAGTAGACAAAACTCCCTTTGACCATCCAATCCTGATTTAGTTCAGTTGTTCACTGTGTTCTTTCCCTATGGATTTACATCCATGCATATATTTCTGGTGGCTTTAAAAGAAAAAAAAAAACAGAGTCATACTTATTTGGCAAATTTTAGTATTGAATGGATATAGATCTTTCTGGGCTACAATATAGCTTCTCTGTCCTTCCTGATCCTTTGATATGTATCTCTCCAAATCGCAATAACCTAATAAGTCCTCCAAAGTCTAATAAATCACAGAACATATTCTTTTTTTAAAAATAAATTTACTTATTTATTATTTATTTCTGGCTGCGTTGGGACTTTGTTGCTGTGCACGGGCTTTCTTTAGCTGCGGTGATCAGGGGCTACTCTTTGTTGCAGTGCGCGGGCTTCTCATTGCAGTGGCTTGTTAGGGAACACGGGCTCTAGGCACACAGGCTTCAGTAGTTGTGGCACGTGGGCTCAATAGTTGTGGCTTGCGGGCTCTAGCGTGCAGGCTAAGAAGTTGTGGCACACAGGCTTGTTTGCTCTGTGGCATGTGGGACCTCCTGGACCAGGGCTCGAACCCATGTCCCCTGCAGTGGCAGGCGGATTCTTAACCACTGCGCCACCAGGGAAGTCCCAGAACATATTCTTTAAAGTTGTCAGTCATAGGAAAGGAAAATCAATGACTGCTGCCACTATTTCAAGATAGGTACCCTACACTCCATTAGCTCTCCCATCAAACCAGTGCAAATAAGAATACAATCTGAGTTAAAAAAAGACTGGCTGATCCTCTTTCAAAACAGCTGGATACCTGTCAGCACATGGATGTTCTAAACCTGTCATTGTCTTCTAGATCCTTGCGATGTGCTTTGAATTGTGCACCAACACTCCTGCCTTCTTACCAATCCCTGAGGATATCAGAAGCAGTCTACAGATGCTTGGTGAAAATACGATCAGAAAAATGAAAGCCAGAGAAGGGAAACTGTAAGACAGGGTAGAAGAAAGTCATCACCCCAGAGGAGGGACAGATGGGATCTGGACGAATATCCATAAGGACACACAACTGCTGTCTCATTTGAGACCAAAAAAACCCTGTGGAGAAGCAGGGCAATTGTTGATTCTCCACTTTACAAGTGAGAACCTGAGCCAGGCCTGACGCACTTGTTACAGAACATGGAGAAGAATGACAGGAAATGGACACTCATGAAACCTATGCCTGCCTCGCCAGTTTCAAAGGGTGCCTTCCTCTGTCCAGTACTTCTTAACCCTGGCTGCATCTTAGAATCACGTGGACAGTTTTAATGAAACTCCAGTGACTGAGCCCCAGCCTCAGGGATTCTAATTTCATTGGCTGAGGGTGAGGGCTTGGCATCAGCATACTTTAAAAGCTCCCCCCATAATTCTAAGGTGTAGCCCAGGTTGAAAACGACGGCTCAATGAGTCCACAGTACAGACTTTGTCATCAGGGTTCCTGGGGAAAGTTAAGATGCCACAGTGCTAGTGGGAGAGCGTAGGCAGGGTTGATCAACAATCAGTATGTTGTGCTAAATACAGAAATCAACCAATCAATGAACAATTTTTTTAAAATTACCATTAATTATACAAATAAACTAAATCACAATGTGTGTGTAAATAAAACTACTTAACAAGTGATATAAGTTGCAGTGCAAATTGTTCATCAGTTTTTTATTGAGGTGTATTTTACCTATCACAAAATTTATCTCATCCATGTGTACGGTTCATCATCTGGTTCTGACTTCTTGGGAATTACTGATATGAGCTTTTCATTGGTAGGGCCGTCACTAGCTACATGATGCTCTCAGTTTGACTGCACTCTTCCAGAGTTTACCCATAAGTTTGATAATGATTAGGTGCCTGGGGATTGTGTTAAATGCTTGAGCTTTCAACTTCCCCCGATGCTCTTTAAGCTTCAACATTTTCTCTCTTGGCTACAATCAGGGAGGTTGGTACTTTCAGGGCCCTGGTTGCACTCCAGGAGCTAGTACTAGAAACGTGTGAGCTAGACGGAGGGGAGGGCAGGAAGGGTGAAAGCACATGAATATTGGTTAATCGAGAACCAGAACCAGGAGCCTGTGATTGTCTTTTGGCTCCACCACCACGAAGCACCTGAGGCTATGCCCAGCTGGGTCAGGACAGTCATAACAGACAGTAAAGCAGTGGCTGAGTGGAGCCCAGTCATAAATAAGACAGAGGCACAAGGCAGTGGAGTGATCGGTTCAAGATGGCGGAGTAGAAAGATGTGCGCTCACTCCCTCCTGCAAGAGCACCAGAATCACAACTAACTGGTGAACAATCATCGACAGGAAGACACTAGAACTCACCAAAAAAGATACCCCACATCCAAAGACAAAGGAGAAGCCACAATGAGATGGTAGTAGGGGCGCAATCACAATAAAATCAAATCCCATAACCACTGGGTGGGTGACTCACAAACTGGAGAACACTTATACCACAGAAGTCCACCCACTGGAGTGAAGGTTCTGAGCCTCACGTCAGACTTCCAAACCTCGGCGTCCAGCAACAGGAGGAGGAATTCCTAGAGAGTCAGAATTTGAAGGCTAGCGGGATTTGACTAGAGGACTTTGACAGGACTGGGAGAAACAGAGACTCCACTCTTGGAGGGCACACACAAAGTAGTGTGCACATCAAGACCCAGGGGAAGGAGCAGTGACCCCATAGGAGACTGAACCAGACCTACCTGCTGGTGTTGGAGGGTCTCCTGCAGAGGCCGGGGGGTGGCTGTGTCTCACCATGAGGACAAGGACACTGGCAGGAGAAATTCTGGGAAGTACTCCTTGGCGTGAGCCCTCCCAGAGTCTGACATTAGCCCCACCAAAGAGCTGGGTAGCCTCCAGTGCTGGGTCGCCTCAGGCCAAACAACCAACAGGGAGGGAACCCAGCCCCACCCATCATAGTGGATTAAAGTTTTACTGAGCTCTTCCCATCACAGCAACACCCAGCTCTACCCACCACCAGTCGCTCCCATCAGGAAACTTGCACTAGCCTCTTAGATAGCCACATCCACCAGAGGGCAGACAGTAGAAGCAAGAACTACAATCCTACAGCCTGTGGAACAAAAACCACATTCACAGAAAGATAGACAAGATGAAAAGGTAGAGGGCTATGTACCAGATGAAGGAACAAGATAAAACCCCAGAAAAACAACTAAATGAAGTGGAGATAGGCAACCTTCCAGAAAACGAATTCAGAATAATGATAGTGAAGATGGTCCAGGACCTCGGAAAAAGCATGGAGGCAAAGATCGAGAAGATGCAAGAAATGTTTAACAAAGACATAGGAGAATCAAAGAACAAATGAACAGAGATGAACAATACAATAACTGAAATGAAAAATACACTAGAAGGAATCACAAGCAGAATAATTGAGGTAGAAGAACGGAAAACTGACCTGGAGGACACAATGGAGGAATTCACTGCCGTGGAACACAATAAAGAAAAAAGAATGAAAAGAAATGAAGACAGCCTAAGAGACAACTGGGACGACATTAAACGCAGCAACATTCACATTATAGGGGTCCCAGAAGGAGAAGAGAGAGAGAAAGGACCCAAGAAAATATTTGAAGAGATTATAGTTGAAAAATTCCCTAACATGGGAAAGGAAATAGCCACCCAAGTCCAGGAATTGCAGAGAGTCCCAGCCAGGATAAACACAAGGAGAAACACACCGAGACACATAATAATCAAATTGACAAAAATTAAAAACAAAGAAAAATTATTGAAAGCAATAAGGGAAAATGACAAATAACATACAAGGGAACTCCCATAAGGTTAATAGCTGATTTCTCAGCAGAAACTCTACAAACCAGAAGGGAGTGGCACGATATATTTAAAGTGATGAAAGGAAAGAACCTACAACCAAGATTACTCTACCCAGCAAGGATCTCATTCAGATTCAATGGAGAAATCTAAAGCGTTACAGACAAGCAAAAGCTAAGGGAATTCAGCACCACCAAACCAGCTCTACAAGAAATGCTAAAGCAAATGGTAATAAGAACATACATATAGATAATTACCTTAAACATGAATGGATTAAATGCTCCAACCAAAATACACAGGCTCGCTGAATGGTTAAAAAAACAAGACCCATATATATGCTGTCTACAGGAGACTCACTTCTGACCTAGGGACACATACAGACTGAAAGTGAGGGAATGGAAAAAGCTATTCCATGCAAATGGAAATCAAAAGAAAACTGGAATAGCAATACTCATATCAGATAAAATAGACTTTAAGGAATGTTACAAGAGACAAGGAAGGACACTACATAATGATCAAGGGATCAATCCAAGAAGAAGATAGAACAATTATAAATATATATGCACCCAACAAAGGAGGACCTCAATACATAAGGCAATTGCTAACAGCTATAAAAGAGGAAATTGACAGTAACACAATAATAGTGGGGGACTGTAGCACCTCACACCAACGGGCAAATCATCCAGACAGAAAATAAGGAAACACAAGCTTTAAATGACACAACACACCACATAGATTTAATTGATATTTATAGGGCATTCCATCCAAAAACAGGAGATTACACTTTCTTCTCAAGTGCACATAGAACATTCTCCAGGATAGATCACTTCTTGGGTCACAAACCAAGCTTGGTAAATTTAAGAAAATTGAAATCATATCAAGCATCTTTTCCGACCACAACGCTATTGGAAAAAAACGTAAAGAACACAAACACATGGAGGCTAAACAGTATGTTACAAAATAACCAAGTGATCACTGAAGAAATCAAAGAGGAAATCAAAAAATACCTAGAGACAAATTACAAAGAAAACACAACGATCCAAAACCTATGGGATGCAGCAAAAGCAGCTCTAAGGGGGAAGTTTATAGCTATACAAGCCTACCTCAAGAAACATGAAAAATCTCAAATAAACAATCTCACGTTACACCTAAAGGAACCAGAGGAAGAAGAAGAGACAAAACCCAAAGTCAGTAGAAGAAAAGAAATCATAAAGATCAGAGCAGAAATAAATGAAATAGAAACAAAACAATAGCAAAGATCAATAAAACTAAAAGCTGATTCTTTGAGAAAATAAATAAAATTG